ATCTTTTTCAATAACAAATATCTTGACTTCTATTCAAGATAGACTGGTAATTACCACATATCTACCATTTGCGTTACAGGCGTAGGACTGACACTCATTGTGAGTAATATTGTGAAAAACCAAGATAATTGAATGACCGCGTTATAAATGTTTGTTCGTTTGAAAATGTAAAGGCTGAATGTCAACCTAAAGATAATTTTAAAACGCCAACATTGAAATAGGTTGCTGGAGAGTAAGAACTATGATCACCAGACTGTGACCCGGAAAACATCGGCAATATCCAAAGGACGGAGCAGTGATCAACAGAAAGCTGCTGAGAAGGCAAACAAAAATTTTACTGACGTGGTGGAATCAGGTGCTTATCAGTTTATGGGCGAAGACAGTTATTGATATCATTCTATAGCGTGTTAGTTTGTCATGCTTTTGTTGAAAAAAAATACCATCTATCATAATTAGACAGAGGTCGAGATATTTTTATTGAAGAAGGTGAAGGTCACTTCATGTCACCAGTAAAAGTAGCGAAGTAATTGCAGCCATAATTTGCTGACTTCCAAAGCTTAAACGTCCTTGGAAACTGCCCATTTATAATTTCGGTGCCTTTGATCAACGTTTTTCCAGTGTAGCCAACTCAGAAATGTGTTTCTAATGTGCGTAAAAGCTATTGCCCCCCCCCCCCAAAAAAAAAAGATTAAAACTGTTCAGCGGACTGAAGAAAAAATTGGATTTTCTCAGTTTCCTTATTTTGACGAGTGTCTCATTTTACTACGATACAACTCATTAAAATAGCAGTATAGCAAAATACTGAAACTGATGGTTTGAGGGCGTTACTCAACTGGTAGGTCCTACTTCTTTATTTTCCTCTGTTGTTTCTGTCTGTCATACTTTTCTCCAGCATAAAATGATTATTATATTTTCGATTTGCTTCTCTTTACTTAGAAGAAATTGAATAAGCACGATACCCGCCTTGCTGATATAGGATCTCTACAAGAGAAAAACGTCAATTTTTATCTGGTGTGTTCAAATTGATGACGAAACCAGAGAATACGGCGTTGAATTTGCAGTAAAGCACTTTAATGTTGAAAAGAAATCGAATGAAATGATTATTATATTTTCGATGTGCTTCTCTTTACTTAGAAGAAATTGAATAAGCACGATACCCGCCTTGCTGATATAGGATCTCTACAAGAGAAAAACGTCACCTTTGTCTGGCATGTTCAATTTGATGTCGAAACCAGAGAATACGCCGTTGGATCTGCAGTAAAGTACTCTAATGTTGAAAATGAAGGTGAAAGGAGGAAGTTACACCGGAAATCCTACTAGTCGTTGCCGTGTAACAGGCGGACCCATAAACCGTATCACTACCCAGGATCCTTTCCTTCCTCACCCCCCCCTAAAAAAAAAAGCTCATACACACACACACACACACACACACACACACACACACACACACACACATACACATACACACACACACACATTTAATACTACTCAGGAATCAAATGGCGCTTCTCAGTGGCAACAGAGCGTATTTGATTTACAATTGTACCAAAGAGGTTGATATATAATTCTAGAGCTTGCAGCAACAGTGACGTCACACCTGTCAGACACGGAGGCCTTCTGATCTTCATTGGCATAGCCGGCGTGCCAACATTTACAAGAAGAATCTAAGTCCCCACCTTGCTCCCCACGGGCTCTAGTGTATTATATAAAACAATGTCATGCTTCTATGTGTTTTCATGATCAGTTTTTGGGCATATGGAGTTACTGATATCCATCTCGGAGCTTGATTATTGGTTCTACTTTTCATGAAAATTTAAGTATGCATCTACGTTTAATATTAATCGAGGTATTTGAGATCGAAAGAGGTTTTATTTCGAGACCGAGGGGGGGGGGGCGGGGGGGGCCTGGTGCCAGAGGTAATATAAGGAAGAATGTGACTGCCGAAATTTGATTAATTTCATAGCTTGAGTGACCTTGGAAATACCTTTACGGCGTTGATTACAAGTATGACATCAAAATCTTTCGTCGAAACTTAAAATTAGAATTTATTTAAAGCTCTGGTGGGGCTATAGCTCATGAGTCAGCACAAAACCTGACAAAAATGCTGCAAGTGACCCGTCTTGTATGTGTGTGTGTCTGTGTGTGTGGGGGGGGGGGGGGGTCGTGTCGTTTTAGTTGAAACGTCCACACAGAATTTTCACTGATTTTTTAGGCAAAACCGGTGCTCGATGACTGCTACCGATTTCACGAGTGATCGACAACTTTTGGTCTGTCGGTTTCTGGTTTTGTGAACAATGGACTCAACATAATTCAGGCTTTGGTAAGCAAAAGTGAAAATATGCATTGGTCTACCTACTTTACATGGCAACTAAGATCACAATGGTCTGTGGAATCTTACTAAACACCTCCCTTTTCAAAATCTGGACACTCATACAACGTGCTAAAGTAGAGAGATCATGTCAAGTTCATTTACTATTTGTGATCGTAATAAATCTTCTCTATAATTCCCTCACTGTTACTGAAAAAGTCACATTTTCACCTTGTTAGAAACAGCCGTGCTTTATTGGGTGAC